AACCCTAAACCCTATGCCTTAACCATCTGCGGGGGGGCCTGACATGAAGTTCGCGTGGAAGCGGAGTTGGTCAGCCAGCGACCTTGACTCCTCAGAGGCTCGGGGATAGTGGGAGCTAGGATTAGGGGGACCCTTGGGATATAGACCCTCTCAATCAGGTCCCTTTTAAGAGAGCCAAAAGTAGGGTTCAGAAGGGGTACCCTTTAAGGGGTACCCCTAATAATACTACCTAGATAGATCAAAATCCTCGAGTTTGGGGGCTTAGGGTTTAGGGTTTGGGGGCTTAGGGTTTAGGGCTTAGGGTTTAGGGCTTAGAGTTTGGGGGCTTGGGGCTTCGGGTTTGGGGCTGAGTGTTTGGGATTTAGGGTTGAGGGTTTAGGGTTTAGGGTTTCGGGTTTGGTGTTGAGGGTTTAGGGTTTGGTGTTGAGGGTTTAGGGTTTAGGGTTTAGAGTTTAGGGCTTAGGGCTTCGGGTTTAGAGTTTAGGGCTTAGGGTTTTTAAGGCTGCCATGCGCTCCCGACTGTACATTGCAAATAGCGGAGTAATTCTGGCTGGCGCGTCGGCGCAGCTACCAGGTGCGATTTAAAAGCCCCATTTTGTTGAAGCATCTGCTTGATTCCCAAGAAGTCCCTTCTGAAGTCCCTGAAGTTGAGGGGCGGTGTGGTCGAGGTAGTGATGGTAGATGGGCAAGGCACGTTCTGTAGTGAGTTCCAGCCAATACCTACAGGGGTGTCCCCTATGTCTAGACTTGGTAAATTTGACCCTATCTTTATACCCTGGCGGGGCTTAGGGTTTAGGGTTCAGTGTTTAGGCCTTGGGGCTTTAGGGCTCGAGGGCTCAGGGGTTCTGGGCTTGCCTTCTTAAACAGTAAGGAGTACAGATGCGGATGGTGGTGACGAAGCGTCATGTCGCTGCAAGAACTCATCGCAACAGTCGACACGGTAGTGCAGCACTAACATAATGGTGACGTCGACAACAGATACAACAGAGCTATGACAATACTGACAATTACTATGGCAGTCATCCTTTTTGGACATGTTACCGTACGCTAACGATTGTCGGCACATCCAGCCAAGAAAAACATATTCGAAAAGAAACATGTTGCAAGTAATGCTGCAGACCTCATGGTCTCGTCTTGGATTTAGGGTTTAAGGTTCAGGGTTTAGGGCAGCAACAGCAAGTAAGTGGCATCATCCTTAACGATAGGGCATACGAGCTGGTTACACGCTCACCATAAACCCTACCCAAGCATCCTCTCATTCCAAAAGGGCTCCTCCTAAGTCTGAGGCTGCCTGGTTGCCGCTCCTTACAGTGTAAACATCCTACTGTTCAGGCTTGCTGTTTCGGGCTTACTGTTTAGGGCTTGGGGCTTGGGGTTCAGAGAATTTAGGGTTTAGGGTTCGGTTTGGGGTTTGGAGGAGTTTTGGGGTGCCTAGAAGGCTGCGAGCGTGTTTTGGCGAGCAAGACTTCCGACGAGTACCTGTCGCGCAAAGTCATACCTCGCAACGCTTTACCAACACAATCAACCTTCAGCACTAGACTTCATGACGCGCCAGAGGGCTGGCACCGCTTAGCCTCATGAGCTTCGGGCATTTTCTGGAAGTAAGACGGATGGCTTAGGGCTTAGGGTTTAGGATTTAGGGTTTAGCTTCATAAGACTTGCAGGGGCTCTCTGGACATCGCCCAATCCGAACCCAGCCCCGGAAATCCCAAACCCTAAACCCTACACCCCGAACCCTAAACCCTACACCCGAAGCCCTAAATCCTAACCCCCGAACCCTAAACCCTAAACCCTACACCCGAAGCTCTAAACCCTAAACCCTAACCCTCGAACCCTAAACCCTAAACCCTACACCCGAAGCTCTAAACCCTAAATCCTAACCCTCGAACCCTAAACCCTAAACCCTACACCCGAAGCTCTATATCCTAAACCCTAACCCTCGAACCCTAAACCCTAAACCCTACACCCGAAGCTCTAAACCCTAAATCCTAACCCCTCGAACCCCAAACCCTAAACCCTACACCCGGAGCTCTTAACCCCTAAACCCTAAACCCCCAAAAACCCTAAACCCCTAAACCCTACGCCCCAAGCTCTGAACCCCTAAACCCTAAACCCCCAAAAACCCTAAACCCCTAAACCCTACACCCGAAGCTCTGAACCCCTAAACCCTAAACCCCCAAAACCCTTGTTCACCTTCCCAAATCTGAGCCCCGGCGGCGGACCAAAATGGGAACGGATGCAGATCGAAGCTGCTCGAGCTGGGATCCTCTGTGGAAAGGAGCCTGAGCCATGGACTCAAGGCGTTTAGGGTTTAGGGGTTTA